AAGTGTTTAAAATGTTTTAGTGTTAAGGTCCAATAACCCGTTTTTCTGTCTTTACTACTTTATAATGTGTATGTTCTTTTTTATCATGGAGTCTTTGTGTGAAAAGTGAGGACATTCCGTAAAGCTACATATGATAAAAGCGTGACTTTTTAGAGTCCATGGTCACTCACTGATGGAGCCAGCTGGCATGTTTCTTGCTTGACTTCTCAAACACTGGTGAGGTAGGGTGGGGAACAGCTGAGACTGTGGGCCCTGCAGTCCCTGCTGCAGGTTTTCGCAGCTGCATGGTTTGGCCAGCTCTCCGCCATGTGACCACTAGCAGATTCTCTCACTTCTGCCTGTTTCTTTGTGCTCAGGTAGGGATTATGGTGCCTGCGCTGGAGGCAATAGGGAGGATTAGAGGACAGGTGCGTGCCTCTGGTCCTGGGACCCGGGACCTCCAGGCACTCCTCGCAGGCTGCTTTTCCAGCATTGACCTGTTCACTCGGCTCATGGTGGCTGCTAGCCCTAGCCTGGTCTGTGTTACCTACTCGCTTGCACTGGTCAGTGGTGGCGGCACCAAAGTACCCATCTGTGTCCCTCCCGCTGGCCTTTGCAGATAAGATGCACATCTCTGGTCATCCCTTGGTGGTGTGTTTTTAGCTCTGAGCCTGCAGTTCATATCTGCCTTTGACCTGGGGGTAATCCCTTCCTGTGTGCATTCTATCCAAAGACCAGGGCATGTTACACTCTAACTAGATGTAAATTGAAACACTAGAAAATCCCTGTTCTTTCTTTCCCAGCATATTTTGGGTTGCTGTATAATTTATCATCCACATTGCGGTGGAGTGGAGTGCGGGGTGTGTTGCAGTGCTTGCGTTTTGTGTCCTATCAGCAAAAGCAAGTGCTGTTGACCAGGACTCTTGGTGGGTTGGGACCTGCTGCTGCAGATGCCATGTGTCTTGTCTGGAGCATCTCCTGTCCTCAAGACAGGGTGAGTGAGGTGGTTGTGGTTAACACCTTGGCAAGATGTTCAAGGGTCAGCTTTAGAAGCAGCTCTGTAAGGAGGCTCTTGCTAGGGACCCGGGCCAAGGGGAAAGTCCAACTCTGAGGAGTCTCAGAAGTCACTTGTCAGGGGCCTGGCCTCCAGTTGTCCTGAATGTGTCTGTTTACCCCAAATGCTGCCAGTCACAGGCTGAGCCTCAGCATGAGTCTCCAACCCTTACCAGGGGACACCCCCAGTAGTCAAACTTGATCTTTGTTGAGTGTATTTTTTTTGTTTTAAAAATCAGTCACCTGAAGGAACATACCAGGACAGCAGTAACTACCATAATGATGCCTTTAACAGTTATCTGGCAGCTACTGGCTGCCGGCCACTATTCTAAAGGCCAGACAGAATTCATTCATTCCTCATGACAGCTCTGAAATGACTGCTATCAGTGCTTGCATCAATGATCAGGAAACGCAGGCTGGTGCAGTAAGGAACTGTAACTAAGGTCACATGCTGGTAGGTAGTGGAGTCAGCGTTGAGACTCAGGAAGTCTGCTTACAACTGGGAGGGAGGGCCAGTAGTACTTCCAGGGCTGACTCAAGGTTGAATATTAGCACAAGGAGCTATAAGTTAACAGGACTCAGTGTAGAAACTATGCATTTAACATTCTATGCACAAGAATGAGGGAGGGCTTGGATCAAGGGAGCAAAGTGGAGGGGGTGCTGCCTGGAGGCGTCCTCTGCCTGGTTCTTTAGAGGAGCAGGTACTGGGCATCCAGGGTCACCCAGATGGCGGGAGCAGTGGCAGTGGCCTGCGGGCCTCTGACCCATGACTGAGTCAGCACCAGTTTTGAACATCTGCCACAGCTAAGTGGATGTCTGTGGGGGACCAGCATGCTTCTAAAGTGAATGGAAAAGCCAGATTACCACCAACTCACGTGGTGGTCTGGATGGAATTATAGTCGACACTACTTCTGTAACTTCTGTCACTACTTAAGCTGTTTGGTGTCACCTATCCTTGTCCATTGTGTCTGGGTTTCATGCTTCTTGAGGCCCTCTTTGAATAGAATGCTGTGAGTAGGTGTGCTGTTTAGATACCGTAGCATCTGGAATGACAGTAACCACCCTTGGCCACCTCCTGGGAGGTTTCGGGTCACACTGGTGAAGGATGCATAGAGTCTCTTTATGATTTGCATGAGTGAGACAGTGGCGGTGTCAGCTTAAAAAATCTTTTCTGTTTTAAAAAAAGTTTTACATTTGAGTAGTGTGCTCTGTGCTTGGATATCAGTCCTATTTCTGGCTCAGTGGATTTCATAGCACTTAATGATGCTTTTTTATATTCATTTTTAAGAAAATTTATCATTTTACTTTGTGATTTTGAATTAGCTGTTTGTAAGCAGATAATTAAACACTTTTAGAGAAAGAAGAAAATGTTAGCTTAATAATAATCTTAACTACACTTTTGGACATAGAAAGAAAAATGAACAGTCCACAGAAATGAGACTTTCTAGCATGTGGTGTAGTGGCCGAATGTTCAATCCGAGAGACCACCAAGAGCCAATTCCGATGAAAGTTCAAGAGGGTGTTTATTTGCAAGCTTGAGCCTGGACCTCTGTCGATAACTGATGCAGCAGAGTACACCCAGAGGCCCTGACTTCCTTAAGCAGACACCTTTTATGTTTTCACACAAAGGGAGGAGGAGTTTGGGGGGACTTTCCAGTCTTGTTACCATTTAATTGGGTAGTAACCTCTGGTGGTCAGCTTAATCGTGGAGGATTGGCTAGCTTGACTCAGGCTGATCTTGGCCCACTAGCTAGGGAAGTTGCAGAGACATTTGGAAACTTTAGGTGATTTTTCCCCTGGCACCTGATTGGTTGTTGCTAAGGGGAAAGTGGGTCAAGGGAAGGGGTTGAAACTTGAACCGGAGCTTTGCAGTTTTTCCCATAACTGAAACTTTAAACAGCTACTGTTTTAAAGCAGAAAACTAAAATGGCTGTGCTATTGTTCACAAGCCGATTACATATTTATTGAGTTATAGCATGCTCTTAACCTAAGTCTATGGTATACTCTATTACGGTTCTCTCAGTGACAAACAAGTAAGCACCTGACTTCTTAGCTGTTAAGACGTTCTTGCTCAGTTTTCTGTGCCCACTTCTTATGTATATTTCGCTCCACCAGAGTGTCGCTCTTATTCTTCTCCCTCAGTAATCAGTAAACTTAGATGGCTCCTGGCCTTCAGCTTGCTATGCCATTTGATTTTTTTTTTTTTTTTGAGTTGGAGTCTCACTCTGTCACCCAGACTGGAGTACAGTGGACACTGCAGCCTCGACCTGTGGTACTCTGGCGATCCTTCCACCTCAGCCTTCCAAGTAACCGGAATTACAGGCATGCACTACCATGCCTGGCTGATTTTTTGATTTATTGTAGAGCTGAAGTCTCGCCAAGTTGCCCAGGCAGGTCGTGAACCCACGGGCTCAGGCAATCCGCTCACCTAAGCCTCCCAAAGTGCGGGATTACAGGCTGAACCACCAAGCCCTGCTGCCATTTGATGTTAAGAATAGTGTAATACATAATACTAAATAAGTTGGCATGCCCTGAAGTGAAGAGTAAAAAAAAAAAAAAATGCACTCCAAGGTAGTTCCATACAGACTTTTACAGACACACCTCAAGTGTTAACATACAATTTTCACATTAATTACATAATGGAAAAAAATCAACTTATAAATTCCAACTTACCTTTTGTTGAACATGTT